TTAATTTTTACTTAAAGAAAGATCTGGTTAATACAATAAACCTAACCATTACGGTCAGATGCTAGGTTAATACCAAAAAAAAAATAAAAAAATGTCATTATATGCACGATTCTCACAGAAAATCTGATTATTCATTAGTCAGTTTCATAAATTTGCATTATCTACTTTGAAATGTCATAATGACATAAATAAGATGTAAAGAACAATGATCCACTTTTAAAAGGCCTCAGGACGGGAATGTATTTTGGTCCCCCATTCTGATTGTGTTCCTCCAATTTATGATGAAGATGGGTTTCGAAGTGGAAGCTATATTCTTTGAATCTTGATGGTTGTGGTGATAAGGGTGGCCAGCTTCACATATGTCGCAGCAGTGATAAACCACTGAAGGTGATTTTTAAAGAAGAAAATTAAACCAATGATCCCAATTCTACCAGAACAAGTGCACTTGAATCCCATTATAATTTTCCTGTCAAATAGGTTTTCCAAAATTCACATTTCGTAGCAAGTTAAGCTACCAACAGCTTCTATCCAAATATGTTGTCAAAACAACCTCCATTGGCTCACACGTGATTGGAAAATTTGGTCGAAAAGACGATTATATCATCAACTTAATTACATAAATAAATTAAAATGAATGAAAAAATTGGGTCTTCTTCTTCCCCCATTCTCTCACCCCTCCCCAACTAGCTGTTTACACGAAAAAATTTACAAAAAATTATCAGTCACCAGTAAAGAGTAAAGCAGCTGATTTGCGATGGAAATAGATTGGAGAAATGTAAAGCTCAATGTGTCAATGCCAAAGAGAAGAAATTTGTAGAAAGATGATTAAGGCCCCGTTTGAGCCCCATTATTTTCTCATTAAAATAAAAAATCTGACCGTTATCCATCATACAAAGCCATCATATTTGACTTTTTATCTCTTGTGTGAGGCCCATAACGACTATATTTTTCATTCTCATTTTTACAATAATGTGGCTCAAATGGGGGCTAAGTCTATCTTTGAAGGTATGTTCACTATGGCAATATAAATAGAAGTAAGTTTATATGAAAATGCTTGTGGATCACCTTGACACAACTGAAGGATGCAAAGAAAGTTTCAAGAGATGAGGTGATTCCAGCAATAGGACATATACAACCAGCAAATCGGCAAGGGAAGGGCAACAACTGGAGGTAGGGGACGGACGAAAGATGGTGTGGTGGAAGAAAATAGTTTTTTCTTTTCATTCTTATTTATTTTTTGCTCAATTGGAAAAGGAGGCATAATTGCCTTTTCAGCCTAAACATCTGATCTCTAGAGAGCAACATGAAGTTCTAACAACATTTTTGGATGGAAACTGTGGTAAAGATCAAGTTGCTTATAATATTTAAAGTTTAAGGAACAGTCGTCAGAAAAATTTGAACACCCAAACTCAGATTTAGCTATAGGATGAGAACAGAAAGCGGAATTTTCCCTTTACATCTAGGATTGACACTGGTATACCTAGGCATTGATGCAGGAACTGCAGATGGGGATAGAGGTGGTGGTGGTAAGTACTGAATGGGGGAAGAGTAAAGAATTCAATTGGGATGGTGGGCATGTATGTTGTTTTGGTGAACGAATTTATGGGGAAGAAAGTGTGGGCACTGCCCTGGTGATGAAAGCAATGGTTTGGTGGGTAGCCCGTGGAATGGCTGAGGGGTTGATATGGTGGAGACGTGTAGTGTGGTAGTGTGTTTCAAAGGTGTTGCTTTATGTGGAGGATGGTGTGGTTAAGAAATACTAAAGCCTTACAAAACTTTAAAAAAAAAAATAAAAAAATAAATAAAAAATAAATAAAAAAAAAAATAAAAAAAATAATAATAATTGTTTGCAACAAGTGTCTTAAGTGTGTTTCAGCTTAGTTTTGAATAAGTAAACAGCTCAAAAAAACTCATTTCCTTTTTGTCTGGTCAATAAATTTTCAACAAGGCACCAATTCAAATAACAGCACAACAATACCCAAAATTGGAATAAATTTACTGGAATTAATAATGAAACCTCAACAAATTGCAGGAAAGATAAAAGGCAGAAAGTTCTCAACGAAATAAGCAACAATGGTACCTGATGATTTACAATATTAGCAGATAACCGTTGAATTTCACGTTCTTCATGATCAGCGAAGAGCTTCGCTTTCGTAGCTGCAGCAGCAAGACCAGCTTCAGCAGCAGCTTTCACACTTTCAGCTGATAATGGAGAAGTCTCTACATCCTGTTGACTCGAATGACTTTGTCCTCCAATTATATCTTCTGAGAATGTCATTCAAAGGAATTAAAAGAATAAATGAATAGACTAAATAATCTACAGCATACCTTTCTTACTACAATTTGTGTTTTTCCCCTGATGACTCCCTCCCTCACAATTGTCCTTAGATAAGGAGGCCAAGGAAGCATGTGCACAGGCTGCAGCCACTCTTGGCCCCAATACAGAGGCCAGAAAGGCAACCTAGATATAATAGCAAATAAGTATTTAATAAAAAGTGGTAAGAGTCAACTGAGAAGCCAGTATTTGAGGAAAAATTATGCAATGCTAGAATGAGAAACAAGATATTTTAAGTCAGAACGGCTGAGAGGTGGAAAAAAGAGAGGAGCTTCACTTTGAATCCAGATGCATAAAGATGCTGCAATCTAAATAGTATCGAGTCGATGTCAGGGTAAGAAAACCTAGTGGCATTCTTTCCTACAGAAAGCACTGGTCGGAAGAGGAAATACAACTGAATCTTCCCACCCAAGCCGACCTAAATGCTGTCAGGAGATTGAGGGGACAAAGGAATATGTGCAAGTATATGGTAAGATAAATCATTCTAGTGCATTAAAATTGGTAGTTAAAACGAATGGTAGGTGAAATCTGATCAACCCATTCGTGAAACTGTAAATCCATATTTACCCAACTTTTGGTTTTGGTTCCTCCAAGTGCAACTTCTCCTCTTATTTCCAAAGAAATAAAAAATGCATAAAATATTCGAGTCTCGTACTGTTTAATAAAGTTTTGTTAGGTAAGTGGTTGTGGCGATTCGGAACGAAGAGGGGGAGTTTTTCAAGAGAAATTATAGGAGCAAAATATGGTGTTATGGAGGGGGGGATGGTACTCAGTTGAGAGTCGAGGCTCTTATGGGGTGAGTCTGTGACGGCATATCTAGCAAGGGTGGAGCGATTTTCGGGATAAATTGACTTTTGTAGTGGGGAATGGCAAGACTATCAGTTTTTGGGAGGATTGTTAGTGTGGAGATCAACTACTAAGATTGAAATTTCGTTTCTTGTATCGTGTTGTATTGTTGACATCTGCCATGGTGAATGATGTTTTAGATATTCATAATGGGAGTATCAGCTAGAACATTGCTTTTGCACGGGGTTTGCAGGATTGGGAGTTAGATAACTACGCGCTGTTTTTGACATCTTTATATGAGGTACAAATCAGGGTAGGAAATGGTGAATGCAGCAGGTGGAGGTTGGCACGAGATGGCATGTTTTCAGTCGGCACTTTCTTCAAATCTTTATTGGGATCTGAGAAGAGCTCTTTCCTCTGGAAGGCGGTGTGAAAGAGTAAACTGCCACCACGGGTAGCATTTTTACTATGGACAATGGTCAAAGGACAGGTGCTAACAACGGAAAACCTACGACTGTGTAGGAAGGATGGGGAGACGATTGATCACTTGTTCCTCCATTGTGATGCTGCTAGTTTACTGTGGAATGATATTTTCGCATCGCAACACATAGACTGGGCGATGCCAATGCGTATGGAAGACGTGTTGAAGGCATGGAGAAGAAAATTCCGCGACAACGATAACAGACTTGCATGGGAGCTTATCCCGA